ACGGCTTCAGTTTTGCTGGCGAGAGGGTAGCCACCACCAACCGTCGTGGAAAGCCTCTCGAAGAACAGCATCTCCGCGAATCAAACCCGGAGTTAATTGGGTTGGGGGATGTACAATCGGAGGGAAGACTCCGCGACATAGTAGGCTCGATGGCGATGTTGTTGAGAGAGCGAGAAGCACTAATGGAGCTTCCAAAATGGTGGTGGTGTCGACGACGGAAGTTGGATAGGTTTCAAATGGTGGTGGTGGTATCGATGACAGAACCTGGGTAGGGATTAATGGGTTTAGGGATTGATTTTTATTTGGTTGAAGGTTGCAGAAGAGGAAGTTTCTGGAGCTTTAGGGAATTATTGATGAAGGGAGGTGAACAAGCGGTGGTGAAGATATTTTTGGTTTTTTTGTTTTTATGATTTTTTGTTATTTAATTTGATTAAAATAAAAAATAAAATTTTGCTTATTTTCCACCTAACATTATTTTCGAATAAAATATGCCACATCAATTGATGTTGTTAGTCTAGTCAACACGTTAACTAACACCGTCAAACAATTGGACGGAAGTGGCTATTTTCGGTATTTCGCCAAACGTGGCTATATTTGGCAAAACCGTCAAAGTTTTGGCTACACAAGTGTATTTTGGCCTTTTTTTTTATTATAATTAGTTTAGTTATGTTTTTCATATGTTGTTAAGCCAACGAAAGTTGGCAACACAACATAAATTAACTGAAAAAAGTGAAACAACTTTAAGTAGCTTTACGAACAAGGGTTTGATATAGTGGTAATATCACTAACCTATAATTTGGAAGTCCCAAGTTCGACCATTAAGTAGTACATTAGTCACAAAAAAAGTTTGGCTAAATTCCAAGTTTGGTCACTTGAATTACTAGTAAAGTTCACGTTAGCCACTAGAATTACTTTATTCCATCCGTAGTCACTTAAATCTATCTATCTATCTATCTATCTATCTATCTATACATAATATTATGGCAATTCAAAAGTAATTGTTTGCCACCTAAGCACTTGGAGAGTTCACAAATTTCCAAGGTGGACAATATTTTTACAAAAAGAAAAATAGTTATTGATATATTTATGGAGCTATATCTCTCTTCATTTAATATTTCATTTCTCTTTTATCCTTTTTTTGTATTATATCAATATACACAATAATAAATAATGTATGAAAAGTGACATATATTACATTTTTTATCTCTAAATTTTTTAATATTTATTTTTCTTTTCCAATACTTTCTTTATGTTTTTGTTTTTACTTTTGTATTGTATCGATGTACGCAACAATAGACTAATGTCTTTGAGTCACACATATAACTTTTTTCTCAAACACAAAAATATCTTATTAAAGCTCACTAAGTAAATTTTTAAATCACTTTTACATAATTTACAAATATGTTACATTTTAATGAACAATTTCTACAAGCACACATACATAATAACATTTTATCGCGACAAAATAAAGATGGAAATTAAAGAAAGAAAACAAGAAACGTTTGAATAGAAACTTGACCAAGCAATAAAATCTATTTCTTAAACAAAAACCTTATTCATTCTAATTATGTGAAGACATATGAATCATAGGTGCAATAACTTACAATGTATCCTAAGTTCAAATTACTAATATTTTGCATTTTTGCTCTAGATCGTGTTAATTGAGCAAACTCTAATGAAGTTTTAATATGTTAAGAAATTTAATTTTCAAACTTGGAGTAATAAATTTTCAAGGATTATAAATCAAAATTTTCAAAATGACTTCGGTATGATTGTTTATGAACTTGACTTCATATCTTAAGATGAGACACGAGATACATTAAAAAATGATACATGTGAAAGTTAGCTGAATCTTTGCTAAACTGTATGTTAAACATCATGTGTTCATCAACCACTGACCTATGTATTAAATAAATAAAGGTTTAGAATCTATCTATCTGTCTATCTATCTATCTATGGCAATTCAACAATAGTTTGTTGCCACATAAGCACTTGAAGAATTTAGAAATTATCATGGTTGACACTTTTTTTACAAACACAAAATTGAGTTAATGCTCAATTTATGTAGCTATCTCTATCTTCATTTAATGTTTCCTTTTGTTTTTATTTAATAATTCATTTGTACATTTTGTAGTATATATGTGTAGCAGCAGTATACTAATGTTTGGAGGCTGGCATGTATCGCGATTGTTTAAACAAAAATATTTGAATAAATCTTATTAAGTAAATTTTCAGTTTACGTCATATGCTAAGTTGGTGTTAGGCCATTACCTTTTGATTTTTCGTTAGGAGAAGAAATTTTGAGTGAAGGAAAGCAAACCAAATAACGGGTGTTAAATGCAATAGAGAGTGGAGATACCCGGGTAGACGAAACTAACTATGTCAACAATTTGGTGGCGCATGTGAAAAATGGTGCAGGAGGACAATTTAGAATTCAGCTGGCGATGTTACTATATGGGCCGTGAATTGGTGGACAAAGGTGAGGATTGGACAGAGCAGATCTGGTATAGAACTTTAGTAGCGGTCGTGACAAAATGTGGGAGGAGACAACTTAGCAATTGATACATATAGAGTAAATAACATTTAAATAGCTAAACCTTTCAGTTTTTTAAAATTATTAGCCAAACCTTTCGAACTACAAATGATTAGCCAAATATTTTGTATCACGTCAAAATATTAACCATTTTTTGTTATCATTAATAATTTTGTAACTCTTTTTTAATTAAAATAATAAATTGGATTATAGACCGTCACGTGTCTCTTCCAACTCATCATCATGTTGTTGAGTCAACATTACTAACAAAATGCTAACGGGAAGTTAACGTTTGGCTAATACTTAGTATTTTGAATTTTTTTTGAAAGATATGGTTTATAAAATGTATTTACTATGTTATATAATATACTAAATTTGGGTCTCTTGATAGACATATGTTAACATAAGATCGTTAGGAGACTTCATGAACATTCACATGAAAATGAGGCAAGATTAGAGAAGTTGATCTTCATCGGTATGATCTTTCTTAGCAAACACATGCATTTTTTTTTTGCAATAAAACACATGCATAACTAATAATATATTTACAGAATAAAATAATTTGATAAAAATTCAATGGAGCAAGAATACATCACCTCATTGGATAAATGAAGATGATAAGTAAGAATAACTTTTCTCTCTTTTATAATGTGTACTTCCATCCCTTATTTTCTTTTACAATTCACATTTCTCCTTATTTTCTTAACATTTTACAAATCCATGTAACAAACAAGTATTAATTACACTTAAAAATAATTAAACTCTTTTTAATATATATGCTATATATTGACAATAAATGTGGCAATACAGAAAAATGCATATATTAGTATAAGTAATGAAATTTTTATTTCTAAACAAATACCAAACATAAATGAATTTTAGAAAACGAAGGTTCTAAAGTTATAAAATTATACACTAACGCACCATATTAAGATCAAAATCCGTATGTGAGTATCTTGGATTGAGATTCTAAAATAATATATAAACAACGACAATGCGTCTCAGTTAGTCCAAATTAAATTTCAGAAATTAGCAATTGATACATATTGTATAAGAGACTAAATACAAATAAGATCTTACAGTAAACTTCATGAACATCCAAAGTATCAACTTTTAATTGGGATGAAGAAATTTATCCAATAATGAAGTATATGTACAAAGAAACTCTAACTAAGATGTCCTCATCTGAACAACGTGGATTCATATAAGATAAAAAAAAATTGTACATGGGACGTGGTATACCTTTGTGACATGGTTTATGATTAGAGAAGTCAAACATTATAAGTGAATGTGCCAAGTATTGATAAAATGAATTCTCCTAGCCCCTTAGTTAGGTTCAATTATAATTCCCCTAGGTTGATTCACTGTTGATTAGACTGCGGAAGATCCGACAGTAGGTTGGAATCTCTTAAGCTGACCAAGCCCTCTCAGTCTAACTACCCGGCAGACGACTAGTCTTCACCGGGATAGAAAGCTGAGGCTATGAACACAGAACTCCACTACTGGAATTGAATTCCAGTACAAAGCAGTAAACTGGCTAACTCTCGTATAACCAATCTCCTACTATCGAATGAAGGGGCTCTAACAACCTAATCAGATTCTATCTATCTCAGGTTGCAGCAGAAATCGAGAAAAGCTGATCAGACTTCAATCAATTCAATAAACATGCATCATTCGATTAAAACCAAACAGTATAATCATCCCAAGTCATTACAATCAAATCCCTAACACAAGAAACAAGGTTCTTCATACCCAAGTGAGAGAAGGGTTCTACTCCATAGAGAGAGAGAAGAAAACAGTAATCAGAGTAGTCATACTCATAAAGATGAGGAAAATCTGCTCTGGGATGATGATTTCCACTCCTATGACGATCTCCAAGCTCGATTTGACGAAACCCAGCTCCAAGATAGCTTCTAGGGTGTGTTCTTCGTACTTTCTCTCTAGGGCTTTGTTTTTGCTCTGAAAATCCGATTCTCCCAATTTTGGCTCGAAATTGGCTGAAAAACCAAGATTTCCCGACTCACACGGGCAGGCCACACGGCCGTGTGGCTCACCCAGTTGCCCGTGTGAGTCAAAACGCGTCGTATCAATTAAGTCGAAACTCAGGCTTCCCACACGGTCAGGTCGCACGGCCGTGTGGATTTCCTGCTCTGCCCGTGTTTGCTCTCGGCGAAAATCACACGTCCACAATTGTAAGTTGCACGGCTGTGTGATGTCCAGGACTGCCCGTGCGGCTTCCTTAGAACCTCGCCACGCGTCTGATCTTCGTCCAATCGACCCCAAACTCGCTCCCAAGCCTCCATTCACGTACTAGGACCTGAAATATCACAAACAAGCACAACCTAGCGTGAAATCGGCCTAAAACACGAGAATCAACACCTCAAACGGCTCAAGAATAGGGGTAAAAACATGTGTAATTAACGGTCTATCACCTACTCTTAGCCGCCAGCATCCATGGCCGACAACCATGCCGACAGCCGGAAAGTCATTTACCTCCACGGTGACCTCGATTTGCACATTATTGAAGCTCGGAGGCTTCCTAACATGGATTAAACCTCCAAGCGCCTCCGCCGCTGCTTCTTCCCCTGCATCTTCTGCGCCGCTCCACCCTCGTCACCGCTGCCGCCAACGGCGAAGCAAGGGACTACAAGCTGCACAAGCACCGCAACATCATCACCACAGACTACTACGTCACCGTCGTCGTCCCCCAAGCCACCATCGCCCGCACTCACATCGTCAAGAACTCGCAAAACCCTAGGTGGGATTACGAAATTGAGTTCCACGTCAAGGACGACGACGTTTACGGGGCGCAGCTTGTTGGAAAGGCTACAATTCCCGTCGAGAAGATCACTTCGGGAGAGGTTCTCAGCGGCTGGTTCGCGATTGTCGGCCCCGGCGGCCAGACGCCTAAGCCCGGACACTACACTGAGGCTCGAGATGAAGTTCATTGCTGTCGACAAGAGTTCGCACTATCTCCATGGCATTGTCGGCGATCCTACTCACCGCGGCGTCACTAACACCTACTTCTCTTTGAGGAAAGGGAGCAAGGTGACATTGTACCAGGACGCTCACGTACCTTGTGGCTCATTGCCGGAGATTCAACTTGACGGTGGCAGGGTTTATTAAATTTTTTTTATATTTTTTTAATTGTCACGTCACTCATTTAACAGTCAACTATAAGAGTTGACCACCACATCAGCAAAAGTTAACGGAGACTAACAGTCAGTGACCAAACTTGAACTGTTAACCTAATTTAAGTGACTACGGATGAAATAAAGTAATTATAATGGCTAACATAAATTTTACTAGTAATTCAAGTGACCAAACTTGCAATTTAGCCAAAAAAGTTTATTGACAAAAAAACTTTACATAACTTTCTTGTTGTTTCCAAAAGCCGTTTCTTGTGGGATATTGCCTATGTTTGGCCCGGCTTTTAGAAGTGCTTTTCGGCTTCAAAAGCTTAAGCAGGGCCAAACACCTCTAAAAGCTCGGCTTTTGAAAAGCCGAAAAGCGCTTTTGTATAACATAAAAGCAGAAGCTCCGATTTGGAGCTTCTGCGAAAAGCTGTTTTGAAAATACAAGATTATCCTTACCATATTTTAATTTTATTTCAGAAAATATAATTTTCCTTCGTTTATATCATTTTAAAAATAAAATAAATTATAAAATCATATTATTTAATATAAAAGAAATCTAACAAGATCCATTTTGACTACTTTTTATTGTTTCGAATTTTTATTTATATTTTATATTATAAGTCCTTTATAGTCATTTTACACAACCGCTCATATTAAAAAGCACTTCTAATAGTTTTACAGCCAAACACTAAACTGCTTTTTTTGAAAAGTACTTATCTAAAAGCTCCAGCCAGAAGCTGCTTCTGCAAAAGCTACAGCAGGGCCAAACTAAGCTATTATCAGTTGCTCTAATAATTTCATTCAGATCAGTCTATTATCAAATCTCATTAGACTCACTCTATACATATGTCCCCTCCCCTGCTTTTGTCTCCGCCTCAACATTAATACTAAACAAGGCCAATGAAGTAACTAAAAATAGAAAATTGTCAACGTTTATAATTTTTTAGAATTACCAATTAAATGTGTTTCTCTTCTTCATTTTTATGGGGTTGACTTCTGGTTATACCTCTATTGTCACAACAATATTACAACCACAACTATATCCAACTATACTAAACGGGGTCTTGATGAAATGATCTGCAGTAGGTACTGCAGCATACACTCGGAGAGTCTAACCAGATAACAGATTAGCATAATTGTAACACAAATGCTTAGCACTTCTGCTCCCATCATGTAATTCTTGCTTTCGTTTGCTTATTTCAGTTTATAAATGTACAAATGTATAAGAAAGAGACTGTACACAAGCAAAGAAAGAAAAAAAAAACAAGAGAAAAAAAAAGACAAGTGTCTGCAATCAGCCATTCCTTCCCTTTTTTCTACCACTATAGAAAGAAGTTAAAACTTACAACAGTGATGATAAACAACAACAATCATTACAAAACCAGGCAGAGCTTTACAAAGAACGGTATTACACGAGAAACGTAGTCTCCCTCCCTCTATGAATAACACTACTATCATCTCCCAGTACGTAATTAGCTTTTCGCAAGTCCCGGCGACAGCAATCAAAGAATTACAGAGGCGAGTTCAGAACAAGTAAGACGAACCCGTCCTCTTTAACAAAGCTTATTCAACCCTGCAGGCGGGGAAGAAGACTCCCCGAGCTTAGTAAACAGAGCTTCCCTCTCAAGCGAGAGATGGAGGCTACCCATGACCTTACTCAACGAAACCCAGAGCAAAGGCGCGGCGCAGAAGGCGTACCCGAAAACTGACAGAGCTCTGACGACACCATCTGGGTAGTAAGGGAACGCCATCACCAACAGGACCCCCGAGATCCCCATCCACGGCATCAGGACGTGGAGCGTCGGCAGCATGAAGGCGTTGATGGCGATGGAGCAGAGAGCGAATGTGCCCAGCAAGTAGAGAGACCATCCTAGCACTGGGTGAAGAGTGCAGGGGATGATGAAGAATGGGACTATGTAGGCTGCGAGGATCGCCCACAAAGAGATGAGCTTGAGTGTGGATTGGAGTAGAGAGATGTTTCTGTCGCCGGTTCTGCGGTTGCATAGCTTGGTCAGGCTTGGCCTTGCGAGACGGGTGACTGCTATTATGCCAAGGTAGAGGATAGATTGGATCACCACCATTGGCATCTCTGGTCCATATCTGCTCACCAATGACAATGTTGTTTTTTACAAGTTAGCATATAGTCCCCATGTTTAGTACTCATTCCATGTATAAGAAGTTTCTACAATGTAACAAATGGCTTACCCAAGATGCTGACGGCGCTGCTCGTGCCACTGAATGCCTAGAGGCAGAACGGGCCACGACCACCAGTACCATGGCTTCAACCATGGCGCACCAGGGAAAGTAATGACGCTGTTAGGCCCGCATGGGACGTTCCACCTCAATCTGAGATCTGAACAGTTAAAACAAACAAACAATTGTTCAGAATACTTCAGCAGATTAAAAGTCGCAATCTTTTTCGAGAGGTTGTTTTTTCTGTTACTCACAGTAGTAAGAGGCGTCCATTTGATAACCAAGAGGAAGCCTATACGACCCATTGACGGCTGACCCATTGGCAGGAGGGTGGAACAGTGGCTTGTCCAGCAAGTCAGGGAAGTATCCGCCGATGAAGCCTTGGTCTGCCCCATCAGGGTTATCTTTCCCCACCTCCACCTGATGAAGCATGTCTTTGAAAACTACATCCGATGGCTGCAAGACGAAGAGACCCGTGTGGAAGATGCAGGGGTTGATGAAAACCGCGCAGAACTGGCCGCACTGGAACAGCTCGTCGGAGTTGCGGAGGAACATGTTGTCGGCGTCCAGCATGACTACACGCTCGTAGTCCACCAGGCTCCATGCGTAGAGCTTGTTTAGTGTAAGCTTGAATCTCCTGTCGAAGTTCTTTTGGTCCTTGTATGGGTTGTTCACGTTCTCCACTCTTACAACTCTTGCTCCGTCCTCAAATTCCCTAAGATCACAAAGGAAAAACGTCACAATTAGTCAGCCTAGATTTCTATAGTTGCTACTGGAAGCAACTTTGAGATTTATTACTACCAGTCAACATAACCAGGAACCAAGAATCAATCAGAATCATTTAGAGTTGGTATTGATTTAGCAGAACAATTAACAGCATTCATAGACTGCTGAGGCCTTAGCTTATTGACTTTTGGCTCAAACTTCATCCAGTCGTAACGAAACTGGGTTATGTTTCGATCCAAGAACTTAAGATATTATTTTCTATATTATTCAAGATCAAACTAGATTGAATCAAGTGCATCATTCAATTAGTTTTTATCCTTTTTTCTCTTATCTTAAGTATCACCATCCTACATCAGACTGGTTCGGTTTCAATTCAAACCAGCCATTGGCAATGGCACCCCTACAATAGGCTGTACATTTAGTAGTAAATGCATTGATGATGAATTGTCAGCATAAACACAACAGATTCCTAGTTTCCCTTTATTTCCGTTAGTAAAGTGAAGAGATTTGCTGGTCTGCACATTTAGCAGGTCTCCCGCAGAAGCACATGGGTTAGCTGAGCTCTCAAGTCTGAACCCATAGCAAGTTACTTGAATAGAGGAAGGAAAAGGGACAATTCAATAAGATTCAACAAATGCTGCTAAATCTCCATATAATTAAAACAGCATAAAAATCTTTTCAAAGAAAACAACAATAACAGGACTTGTCATTAAAAACATGCAACTCCCACATGCCCGCCCGCCAACTGATCAACTAACCCAAGAACTTAGAAAGAAAACAAAGGAGGGAAATTTCTGAACTCTGTCAGGATTTGGTTGACTAATGATTCCAAAATGCATTCATCTAATGATCAACATTTTTCTCTACTTTTACTCTTACCGCATTTTGAGTTGGTTGGTGGGTTTGGTAATCACGCTTTAGATTGCCATAGATAGATACGCGTTAGAAACATAATTTGTGGGTAGCTAGCTAGATTTAGACTAAATTAGAAAACTCCAAATGTGTGGTACAACTGAGGTACCGTGTATTAATTTTGTAGACTGGCGCTGTGAAAGACTATTATCCTAAACATCCGCCCACTAAACTAATGTATGTCTTTGTCAGAGACAGAGTGACCCAAAATTCAAGTGGAACGTGGGATGTGTAGCCTGCCTTTATTAGCTGATAGATGGCTCTACCTAATTACATGAAATTACTAGAAAAGAAGGGAGCTCCAGCTCGACACACTTTAAGGTAATCAATAAAAAAAAAAAAAAAATTGGTGATGAATTAAAGAGGAGCAAGTTTGCAACATAGTGATTACTTTCAAGAGTTCTCGTATTTCAATACTACTGATGCATTAAAGTTTGGAGTTATAGCTAGGTTCGTTGCAGTCAAAATAGTAATATAACAGAGACTACTATCAGAAAATGTCGAGACAAAAACTTACTTTGCCATTGCAATTTTGAGTGTTAACTGTTGCAACAAAGAAAGAAGGTAAAGAGACGGATGAGAAAGTAAAGGATAAGTTTTGACAAGGTGCTTAATGACTCCAAAAACATAAGAAAGTGTCGAGGCAACTTCCTGAAAATTCACCTTTGCCCCACTAACACATAAGTGGGCTAATCCACAGCATGGATAGAACAGAGCTTTTCCGTCTAAATTACACCAGTCTAAAGCTATGTTTATCTGGACACTAATCTATCACTAAAGAGGCGATCAA